AGATATCGCTCATTAATTTCAAATTATGTAAATGAGTTACACGGAAAAAAACATTTAGCTGCTGTAGCTAAAACTTGGTAAAATAGGCACATGCGCCTATTATATTAGGTGCGACAGCAAACGGTTTGCTGTCGTAGCAAAATATTGAGCTATCACAACTAAAAATATTAGCTGTCCCTATTTTACCAAGTTTTAGCTACAGCAGCTAAATGTTTTTTTCCGTGTACTACCCATGTAATCCTTATTTATTATTTAGCTCGTCTTACATAAAAGTATCACACTTGCGAACAAGATTTAATTATTCAGTCGACTACATTATCCCTCGTAAATTATTATTTAATAAGTACGGTATGTATTGTTAGCATGATCTTGCTTTGTGAAATATTATTTTGCATGATACTTTGGCTTGGAAATTTTTTACAAATCGACAAGTTATGCTCAAAGCAAGTTCGCCGAATGGCGCAGTCATTAGGCTATAGTCTGTCTCGAATGCATTCGTATCGTGTTGACGATGTAAATTGTATTCTGTCTAAGCAAGTTTAATGAGGTCAGCCCTTCAACACAGGTGTTTCGTCATGGCTTCCTTATGCCATTAATAGTTGTTAGAATGGCCAAACTTTCTGTGAACTTTACCTATTTGCGATAAGATCTTGCATTAAATTCTACATTAAGCATAACGGATTTAACCAAAAACAAAACAAAGTATTACGCAAATTATGCCAAACATTGGTCACTAATTCACAATTTCTTTCCCTGACGAAAACGCGAGTGTATGAATAATACTGAAGGTTAATCGTATTGAACGAACTCCCATTTTCCTGTTTTCTGATATGTAACACATCGGACGCTAAAATATTCGAGAGCCTCCATTCATACACTGCACCTTTGTCATTGAAATATAATTGCTATCAAACAAGAACTTACACATTTAGAAATAATAAAGTTTACATTGTTAAATGTAAAATATTAATAAATCAAAATGTTTATAGATATAGAGTAAATTTTACGATCATGCATAAAAGATGACCATAGGCTGTAATTTCTTTACTAACTATTAGTACATTTCTGTAGTCATTAAAAAAAAGTTTAATATTTAATAGTTTATGTGCGTATATTTGAAATGACAGTATTGTAAACATTATGCCATTTTTACTTTCGACTGCCTGCTAAATTTTTACACTTCTATGAAATTTATTATGACTAGAACATTTTACGCGCGCATCATTTAACATTATTCTTTAAATTAAAGTTAAATTTTTTAAATTTAGTAAATAAGGTAATAACATCGGTTTATCGACCGTGTCTGGCAATTAAAATTCTTATTGCGAAAAATATTACCCCAGCCAGGATTCGAACCTGGGACCTCCCTACAATCCGTGACGGGCGCGTCTTAGCCAGCTCGAATCCTGGCTGGGGTAATATTTTTCGCAATAAGAATTTTAATTGCCAGACACAGTCGACAAACCGATGTTATTAATTTATTAAATTACTGCTGGCGACTTTAAGAATATTCTTACTAGTAAATAAGGCATCATAATTTTTTTACATTACTTTTTATCTTTATCCATTTTTACTAAATAGGTAGATCTCATTTCAATGTATTCTGATTATTTTTTCAAACTTTTTTTATTTTCTTACTCAATTTTACTTTGTCATTATCCTTGTCAGTATCACTTTCCTTCACTCAATTAAATGTTTAACTTTAATTTCTCTTCCTTTAATTTGTTTATTCTCTAGCCTTCTTTAAGTATATTTTTTCACAAACTGTCATAAAATTTACATGTAAAGTGAAGCTTGACCTGAATTTAAAAGAGAAGTAAAGCACACCGCGCTTCGAGCAAACCAATCGGCATCTCGGAAAAAAGCTCTCAACTGTTCGATATTAACGATATTCGCGGCGGTAATATCTCCTTTTTAAAAAGGGAATATTTATGAAACGTATTATTACACTATGTGCATATGTATCATATTTTTATAAAATAAATTCTAATAAATGGATAGTTATCTAAATATTTTCAATATCAAAATTAACAAAAGAAAAGTAAATTGTGAAAGTCGTATGCGCTTGTTTGAGTAAGGTCTAATGCGATCTGTGGAGGTTTAAAAACATATAAAGTAACTAGTAATGTAACTATTAAATTAGTTATCGAAAAAAATGTAACTGAGTTAAGTTACAGACGGAGAAAAAGTAACGGAGTTAAGTTAGAGTTACCAAAAAAAGTAACTGTAACTGTAGCTTCGTTACAAGTAACGAGTTACTTCCCAACCATGTATATAATAAGATATTTCTATTTTTTTCCCGGGAGCTGGGTATTAGAACAAAGCGATAAAGAAATAACGTAAGACTGGATCCATTCCTCTTAGGATATGCTTTGATACGAATAATCTTTAAAAGAGAAAAAAATAAGATGTTAGGACATAATCTAACGTTTTTTTTCATAAAAAGTTTGATGCGAAAGTATTATAGTATGCCTCTATCCATTAATTCATGAATATTTTTTCTTGTGACAGAGTGATTGGAATAAAGGTATAAAATCTCCCGGAAAAGATTTTTTATGTTAATTTACACAATAATTTTGTTATGTACGTTTAAAAGATTGAGAAAACTTAAATCTCTGTTGTTCCCAAACTTCAGGGTAAATTTTAATCTGTTGTATCAACTATTAAAACGCTATAAAATATCTGTAATCCCGCAAGAGCAGTCAAAAGAATATGGTCTACTCGTACGTGTGGGAAATAAAAAGGTAATTTAATGTTAACAATATTTGAGACCTTTTCCTTCGGATCTTGCACTTAAAGGAAGATACAAGAGAGAGCCTGTTTATAGACAGTGTGATTAAATGTAACGAAATTCAAGATAAAATTAATATAATAGAATTAATGAATTCATCCATCGGTATTTCGATTAGACTATCCAATAAAGTTCCATCTATTTGTTAAATCATCAATTGCAAGATCTAGAGAAATGTTGGTAAAGACAGAAATTATATTTAACTAGATTAAAATCTCAGAATCCGCCAAAATTTTCTCCGGAGGCCTATTATACAGTTTAAAGCCATTACTGACATGGCTATTTGATAATGGAAGATTAGTTATAATTTTTTGTAGAAAGGCAAGAGAGTGATGAGATGTATTATATTTACTAAAGAAATAACCCGGTAAAAAATTTTTCATGCATGAACATGGATAAATATATAGAATTATATCAAAATACACATCAAATATGTTCATACATATTTTTATATTGTATATTTCTATATAATCGTATACACTTCTCTACACAGTTCTGTATAATTTTATACATGCTTTTACATTAAAAGTTTTTAAATGTGAAAAATTGCTTATTCCCGATTATATATATTTGTGTACAATATGTATGTATACATATATGTATATATAGTATATATTGTATAAATGAGCAGTTTTTCTCTTTTTAGATTGTTCGTATAAAAGCATGTGTAAATCTATAAAATTATACAGAACTACTGTGCAGAATTGTATTGAATTATATAGAAATATACAATGTAAAAATATGAACAAATTTGATGTACAATTTTTTATAATTCCATATATTTAGTCATGTCCATGCTCTTTATCTTTCTAACCATTTATTTGTATCTTATTACATTACAAAGTTGTATAACACCATAATCATGGACGATTGCTCGTCATGATACTTGCACGAAGTAATGGACAGCATTGGAAGTAATATGATATAATAAGATCTATGAGGTATAATTACGTATAAGCTATTCATTGCATAAAGATTTTTTCTTGCATGGTAATCAAGTAGGTCAAAGTCTTAAACGTTATTTGCATTGTATGAAGGAAAATACGCAGATCGGAAAAATCCAGAAACCACAAAAGACTTCCTTCCTCGGAGAGATGATTATTCGATATTCTATCAAACCAATCCATATCTCATAAACGTATAAAACGTATAAAATATCGAGGTCGGAAAGTGACAATGTGGTCATTCATTCTGAATATACAAACAATATTCTCATCGTGATCGAGGATGTACAGTAATGTACACGCGCGATTATGATACATCAGACGATTTAACGCGATAAAGAAGTACGTGTCAAGTGACATAAATTAATGATTTCCACATATGTAAATATTATAATTTGTAAAACATTATGATAACAAAAAATTTCAATTAATAAATTCACGAGTACTTGTACACCGGAAAATTCAATTGTAAAACAATTTAGCGTAATATTTCATTTGCGTAAAGAACAACCGTATTTCGCTCCATAAAAATGGGCGAACCATTAATGCGACGGAAAATGCACCGGTCACTCTGCGATACGCTTTACGAGGTACTTAACAGAGGTCCAAACTGCCACAGTATGGCCTACGTTAGTGATTTTCGCTGGAAAATATGGTATTACGTAATGCAGTAATAAATCGATTAACGCGAATTTCATTGGCGTTTGCATCAATTTTACAGACCCCTCGTAATGCACGTTATTAATCTTGCTGATATTTGGAACGTGTTTCTCCCCCTCCCCCCCTCTCTCTCTCTCTCTCTCTCTCTAAATTTATTGGACCACGTAAAAGATCTTTGACCTCCCTCGTAGAAATATTAAATTTATCCAAATTATGTTTATCCAATGCCATTTCTATTTCTATCTCTATCAATGAAAGCGAGATTGAAAGTAAAATACTTATACAGCATTTATCGGCTCGTATTTACTGCATTTATAGGGCGAAAGGAATGGAATTTTGACACGTGTCCGACTCCGTGGCACTTGATACAGTATGCTATTAATCTTGGTCACTTGACATCATTTAAATGTGCATTTTTAATTTTGTTACGATTATAAATGCATTATGTCTACCGATTTGATTAACTTAGCTGTTTTATAAATAATCAGTTATTTGAAAAACGAGAAATAATTCCGATAACATTTTATTTCTTACAAAAGCATAAAATAATTAAACAATGATATTTCTGTCTGATTATTATATGTTATTCGAAACGCTTGTTACAGTCGCTGTTGTGATAGCATTCTTCATTTGCTGGGCTCCATTTCATGTGCAGCGATTGATCGCTATATATGGCACTAACACAGAAGATCACATCACATCGAACGGCCCATGGATGGGATTTATCTACCTTCTAATGACCTACGTGTCAGGTGTTTTCTATTACGTGTCTACGACGATCAACCCGATCTTATACAATATCATGTCAAACAAATTCCGCATGGCGTTTATGGTAAGCAAAACGGAGCCTAGTGTTGTGCAAAAACTTAAAAATTACACAAACGCAACTTTAAATTTAAATACAAATAAAGTTCTTTGCTCGAAGCAAGTGTTCACAGAAAAAGAATTCTTACGTTGAAAATGTATTCAGTTTTATCGTGAAAATCTTGAAATGAGATTATATTACGTTAAAGGAAGGAAACTTACTCGAATGAAGCAATTTTATATAATTCAACCAAGACAAATACATGCTTATTATTTAAGAATAATTTTCTTCAATGGAAAGGAAATATTGGATAGAAAATAACATGTTTTCAAATCAAGGATTATAATGATAAAAATGATTTCTTGCCAACATAATCATATTGCATGCTTGAAGTGGCATTTATAGTATTTTAAATAAGACTGTAATATTATTGGAATGTAAGATTATTAAATGTTTCTAAGAATATTATAGATTGTTGCGTATATACGAAATAATGAACGCGTTATAATTTGTGTATATAAGAGTTGATCTGACACGTTTTTTTTTCCGTGTTGGTACACAGAAAAAACACGATAAAATGTATTGTGGGCACGAAAATTTTCAAAAATCTTAAATCCATATTTTTTATGTAAATAAGCTTCTCTTTTTGCTGTCTTTCATTTACCTCGGTCTCTGATAAAATTTCTGCGTATCGTCTATTTTTAAGAAACATACGATATATTTTACCCGTTATAAATGAATCGAGTCTGGTTCGTTCCAGGAGACACTATCAAAGAGTTGCAGACTCGCTGGATTGCCAGAGCGTAACGAGCACCGGTCCTATTCCAGCTTGTCGCGATCCCAGCCGAGAACCATTGGAGCTTACGGATCGAGGATACCGGGAACCGATGGAGGATCCGGCATAATTGCCGATAGCATGGAAGGTTCGGGGAATTCCACGGAAGAGAGTAAAAAGCGGCCCGTAACTAATCCAGAAAATTTACCGGTATCCAGTAACGCTCCGGGTGCAACTCGGACAAACTCGGTACGAGGTGGACACGTAAAAGAAACGAGGAACAACAATGACGTCCTACCGCCGAAGAACGATCTGCGATCGCCGACAAGCGGACGTCATAAAAACCGGCCGATTCGCAGGACTCAGGAGACCTCGTGGACCAAGAGAACGAGTTACACAAATGTGTCCAACGTCGACAATTCCGAGAAGAAATGGTGGAGGTTCTTAAAGTGGTTGCCCGGTTTGAGGGTCCTCAGGTTTCCCAGGGGCTCAACTGTACCTGAAGATCGCGTGTTTGACGAGACCGGGAATCCTCGCGAGGAGCTGTCGATGACGATGTGGAACGTTCGCGACAACAACGAACAGCGACCCGTGTAGAACACTCGTGGATGCTTTCGCGATTCGAGATCGTCGAGAAGACTGATTTTTTGTCGTCAATTTCTGCATTATTCGCGTCCGACGATGCAACGTCATCATCTAACGACCTGATGGAAATGATGATCGTAACATCGCGCGATGTTTGAGAGCGAGATCGTTTAAAGTTTGAAGATTTCTTTAGGGATGGAGAAGACTGAGATAAATGATGCTTGTGACTCTGTCTCATGATTAATTTAAAAGCGCTCTAATGAGTATCCAACGAACATAAAAAAGTAGAGAGATCTCTAGGAAAATGTATAAAATCAACATGCTGGTTTATTACTCGTTTGTGCAATTTTGTACGATTGCTGGGTGCTGGCATCTAATGTCGCGTGAAATTTAATAAATTCGGAGCATCGAAAGAGTAAACATGTCAGAAATATTGCGATCGTATATTATAGTAAGTCAATATGTAAATCAAATAACATGTACCGTTTTGCGACTTGTAAATCTTCCCGAGTTCGCGTTCCCGTTAAGCATGCACTCACTGATCATTAAACAGAGATTTTCTCATGTAACAATTTAAATCTGGTTAAATCTGGAATGATAAACACGCATACATAATATTATCGAGTTGTGCATTTTAATTTTGTGAATTCTCGTATCTCTGACATCTAATAAGTGTATTCACTGACATTAAAAATGAAATAATGTGCAACGAATTTTTACTTGTAAAAGCGTTGAAGAGCTTAATTGAAATTCTATCTAATTTCTCTTTGTTAATTATTTTTGACAGAAACTATCAAATTTCCTACTAATTGTAAGTAAAAATCGTGCTAGATGTTTCACTTATCATTGAACATTGTACATAAAGCGTTCTAATAATTATAGTGGACTGTTTAAAGGTACGCTCGCGTAATGTACAATTCGCGCTTAAAATAAATTATAAAATCAAGTAGGAGTGATTATTTCGGATAACCCGGTTTCACAGACGTGTCAAGCGTCTTAAAACACATCGCGTGTACACTTGACATCGCGTGCCATAAATCGTACGAGTTACAACGACAATTAATTTTTAAATAAAATCTAAATGCTCTCTTACCAGGAAATTTATTCCTTGTAGAAATATGCTGTACAGTTAATTAGGCTGATAAAATTGATACAAATTGCATGTCGCATTACTGCAGGTTACATTCTGCAAATGATGCAGAGGCAAGTCTTTCGTGTTATTGTGAAATATAATGCTCTAGAGTACAATTTAATATAAGTACAATTTAATATATCACGGCTCGTCTTAAATCAATGGAATTTTTATAATGTGATATTATTTGTTATGTAAATAATATAGGCATAAACTGTTAACTATAAAACTTTTCTTATTTATTTTTATCCGTGTGTCTCACTGGATGTTATTCGTAGCTGTATGTATATCGATATCTTCGGGCATCGATATTTTTGATAATTACAGATTGACACCTGTAATGTGTCTGAAATTTACTTGGTTCTTTATTTCTCTTCTTCCCTTCAACTAATCGCAATTTAATTCTATAAAAACGATTCTGTTAACTTATTCTATACACAGCGCATCGTTTATAATTTTCTGCTAATAATAAATATTAAATAGCACGATATATATACAGGGTTGGGAATTAACTCGTTACTTGTAACGAAGTTACAATTACAGTCACATTTCTTTGGTAACTCTAACTTAACTTCCTTACTTTCCCTCCAGCTGTAACTTTAACTTAACTCACAATCAGTTACATTTTTTTGAAACTAGTAACTAATTTAATAGTTACATTAATAGTTACTTTATATATTTCTTTTTTAAACCTCCACAAATTGCATTAGGACTTGACTTTGAGCATAAATGCCTCCTTAGTACCATAATTTATTGGCTAATCATTGGCTAACATTGGTTAAACATTGGTTATGTTGGGAGTGCATTGGCCAATATTGATCATAAAATAAATGTAAATATACTACTGATGTTGCACCTAGATGATTATTTAATATTGGATTGATATTGAAATTGTATTGGCCAAGATTCGCCAATAAAATTGTAACATTGAATATAAAATATAACGCCTATTTTACGTTACGTGCCAATCAATAATTGCACGGTATTGCGTTTACACAGAAAGTGCATTGGCTACATTGCCCAATATAATTGTAATGTTGAATATAGAATAAATACTAATGTAACGCCAATGTTACGTGTCAATAATTGTACGATATTGCATTTACATTGACAGTACATTGGCTATCATTATCGAGTTATTCCTTTATCCCTGCCTACCCAAATCTCTACCCGTTTTCCCCTGTATAGTCCTATCCATTTTCCTACCTACCCGTGTTTCAACTTTTTATTAATAAACAATACAAGTCTTTCGTTAAAACCGCGACGCGATTTATAAGAGGTCCGATTTGATTATACGCGCACAATTTAATAAGGATTTAATAGGGATCTTTTTAATCTTGCACGTTTGCGAGAATATGTAAAGAAGATAAGAATATAACCCACCCAAATTTTGGCAAATGAAATAAAGTCAACGTATTTTGTACAACACCTTACTTACATACTCCATCAAAGGCCAATATTGACCACTTGCCTCGTTGTATTCCTTCGTCGGGCCAGATTGGACTTACCATTCGTTGTTCCCGGCCATACAATCTGGTCATTTTGACCAGAGATCAGGAAGGAAGAAAACTCCTTCCATAGTCGGTTATTGTCACCGACAAATATTTCGTACGGTTCGAATATACGAATGTCAATCGTATCGCAAAATGCACGACCGCGAGAAGTTAAATAAAGAAGAAAATTAATTAAAAATTTTTCTGAATAAAACTAATTAAATATATTTTTACTTCCGTTATTTATTGGAGAATAGATATAGAATAGATATATTATATGACTGTCTCTACGTGACTCAATCTTTAAATTCAAAATTCAAGTATATAAATACATATATAGAAAGAAACAATTTACTCCGCGATAAATTTATATTTATAATATCGATGAAATTAAACTATTAATAATTTTTGAAAATTTTTTGAAGAACTAATCGCGAAAACCGACCGCGAAAATACGAAGATGCGTGTAACTACACTCTCAGAAAGGATTTCTGTTACTGAGACAAAAATATTCTTAACGTATTTATATTTCTCACCTCATTTAGTATAAAAATAAGAAAATGTCAAAATAAAATCAAAATTTCTTATTCTCCTCTATCGAATTTAAAAAGATTGACTTACTATATTGAGACAAGAGTAACTTATACATATAAATGTAAGTTTATATATTCTTACGTTTAGAATAAATTTTCCCTCCATCTTACAACGCACAAAGTTGGCACCACGATATTCAACAAAAGACGATACATACTATCATTTTATTCTATATTTTAGATAAACATGATTGGCGTTATATTGATCCTATTTTATGACACATTCAAGTGTAATAGCATTGGATCAAGAAATTTTTTCTGTGGGTGTATGCATGTATTCATGCGAGACGCATCTTGACAGTGTATCGCGAGATACATATACAGAAAATGATATACAGAAAACATATACAGAAATGACGTGAGACCTAGAGAAAAGAGACTTTCCGTACGATAGATAGACGGATAAATGAATATTCTAATTAATCAATAATCTCAAATAATGTGTGAAAATAATATAAAGTTTCAGCATTCTCAACAAAATATTAGTATCTCACGTCATATCGTTTCACTTTATATATAAATTTGTTAATGAAAAATGGATAGACTACAGAGGATTAGCTCGACGAATACATCAATAATATTCGTCATATTTTGCGTGAAAATATGTGATGTGCTGTAACGGGGCACCCAACCCTCCACAGTAAAAATCGCGATCGATAGATAGACGAAATGTATACAAATAAATATGAAATTCTGTTGTACTCTATCCATTTTGGCAACGAATCTACGAGATATACTAATCAATCTACGATCTACATCTACTATCTACGATCTACGAGAAGTAGATTTGTTGCCTTAATAAAAAAGTGTCTGACTCACCACCACACGATGCGCAGCAGCGGAGTTTAACTACGACGAGTCTGTAACATAGAATTAAAAAATTCACATTAGAACAGAGTATTCAAGGAATCCAATCTTCAAGAAAATAATTTTTAAATTATTGAAAATAATGAAAGGAAGATTAGTTTATACGAAATAAAAAATACTTACCCTAAAGTTGCTCCGCCGGCGCCTGATGCCTCTCCCGGGCCTCCTCCTCCTCTCAGATTGTTCACTGGCACACTCGCGAAAACACACAGATCGTTCGCGCGATTTTACACTCCCGTTTGAAAAGTCTTTGGTTCGATTATTTAAACGGCACTCCCGAACGCGACGAAAATGGAAACTTTATGTTATACGCGCACTTTTGTACGTATAATTGTTCGAGAGATTATTTCCTGGCAAGCGATTGATACGAAGAGCGACGCGAGAACACGCGGAACATCCGTCTCGTTCGGCTGAGCCGCGCCGAATGATAAACTGTTTTTGCCCGAAGTGTTAACGTGCTACGTCATTTCTTGGAACCGTGCTCGGTTTTCGACTGTGTTGTTTACAATGCTACGTCATCTCTTTGAATCGACGCTCAGTCTACGGCGCTCGGCGTCACACGATCACGCCGTACGCAAGGTCATTCACGTGGCGACAATTGAATGAATCGGTTACGCCCGCGCCGTTCCGCATACCGCGTGTTTTTCTTGATACGCGCTTGCGAAAATTCGAGAAGAAACCGCGATCGCTCTCTGCGAATAATTAGCGATCGATATCATCGCGCGATCGCTGAATCCCCGCGTTTTGCCATCGATGCTCGGTTAACCGGCAAGCCAGATATCTCGCGCAATTCACACATGCGATCTATACATCTTGAAATTACTTCTTGCGATAATTACGGACGACAATTGCTTCTTTAAACGATACTCGTATTCATGCCATACGCCGACTAGAAGCTGTAGAATATACTTGCAAGGGGCCAAAATCCATGGTCGAAACGTTGTGTTACAATAAAGGAAGTTTCTTGTAGCCAGTTGTGTTGGATATTCAACTTAATTGTTAAAAAAGAAATAGCACGATAGAAAAATGAAAAAATTAATATGAGTTTACAATAATAGTATAAAACAGTAAAGGCTGATTTATGGAGGCGGTTTTCTTTAATAATTTATACCGGAACTTATAAAGAAAAATATATTTTATTTATTACATGTGTCTATTCTGTAATACGTAAAATCTGATTTCACTAAAATATAGATATCTAATATTTAATATAAAATTAGATCTCAGATGAAATAATTTTTAGAATCTGAAAGACATCTCTCAAATATTCAAGCGATATCTGAATAGTTTTTGTATCAGATATTGTAATATTTAGATATCTCCTAGATATCTTTGTGACTTTTTTGCTGCGTGGGTAAATTAATAGGCGTTATCTGTTGGTTCCACCATGAATTTATTGCCCTTGGAGTGAAATCTGTTAAGCGGAAAATTGATTATTGATCGTGTAATCGTTGCGAATAAAGATTTGCGATTGAATTTGGACGTTGAAAACCTACTATCTCACATTAGAATCTTATCTCATAGTAGAGGACTTTCCTCTATATACGTATATGTATGTATTTTTATAATCATATCCTTGAAAATTATTTCGGGGGTTCCAGCGAAGTCGCAACTGGATAAAATTATCTTTAATATTTTGACAGTTGAGCGGGGACATGTTTGAGTTGGCGGCAAGTAATTCTCTGAAATCGCACGTGTAAATAGACCATTCAGCAGAAAAGATATATTCTACATTTTAAAATACATTCACCCTCTTCGTTCCGAAAATACATAATGTGATGCTGTAGTTAATTGATTGAATAGCAAATACAGAATAACGAATGAGAATATGTGCATGAGATCTGAAATCTGCATAAATTTATCTTGTACAATGTGCTTTTGCCGCTCTTTCTCTACAAAACTGATTGCTGTATTCTTTGTTACGTTGGCGGTAAACCTCCACCGCATTTCAAATTACATTGAAAATGTATTGGAAATTACATTTACACTCTATGTTCCAAAAATGCACAATGTGATGCTGTAATTAATTGATTTAGTGTCAAAAATAGAATAAACAAATGGAAACATGTATACGGAATCTGCATAAGTTTATCTTGTATGTACTTTTACCGTTCTTTCTCTACACAGCTGATATTCTTTGTTGGTAAACCTCTGCCGCACATAATAAAAAAGTAAAAAGAAGAAAAGCAACGAAAAAGTATTTTTTCTTCAGAAAAAAATAAGATCTGAAATTATAAATACTATACCAGCTAATAAAGAGACATAGACAAATTGAATCTTATATATTTAATTGCCTGTTCATATAACACAAAGCCCAATACATATAAAAATGTGTAGTATATGAGACGATGTAACTGTGTGCCTACATAGAAACTAAATGAAAAGTAAAAACACATAGAAATTGTACATTTCTCTATATTTAAATGTAACGGGAAGAAATAATTAAACGGATATCCTTGCATAGGAATATTATGCATAATTTTTACAAAACATATTTGAGATCCGCGCAGTTGAAATATATAATAAAAGTAATAATGAGTTTATAAATCTTATTATGCTAGTGCGACGTGATCTTTTTGATCATAAAACTTACAAACATAACGGAAAAAGATTCGAATCCTAAATATCAATCATTTTTATAACGTAACAATACTGAACATATACGGATACAAATATGTATATGTATAAATGTATATAATAAATAATGATATAAATAATAATACAATTAGCTTTTGTCGCGCACATCGATTTTCGATAATGGATATTACAACAAATATTTATATTCGTAAACAAATATAATTCTGCACGAAAGTAATCAAATGTCATTTAACCGTGAAAATGGAATTAAAGTGCGTATTACTCGAACGACAGAAGGGCAGTGTATAAAAAATTACATCACAATAATTACATCTATCGTCATTTGCATATAGCAAATTTTACAAGTCATATACGATTCGTGTATCGTAATTCATACACGATTAAGTACGATCTTTCGCGCATAAGCGGTGTACTAAAGACATATAAATATTTAAATGTGTTCCGACATATTTATATATATATATGTATATATATATCCAACATGAATTACATACATATAATATCCCTTATAGTCTGATATTTTAAATAGTAACAATCATGTACATCGATGTGATAAGCGTACGGCATGAGTGAACTTACAGATACAGGAATGTATATCGTATGAGAAACGTAAAGACGATTATTGTTCTGTGACAGTCTGTTTCGCGAAGTGTCGTGAATTTTTCACGGTATACTTTCGAGACAACCTTTGATGTGCTGCCAAGCTTGAACACCCTGTAACAGTGAAGAATAATGTTATCGCCGAGAAGTATCGCGAAATAAATTCCGTAGAATATGAAATTTAATGTATCGACCTTCCTAGCTAGCTTAAATTGCAGAACACAATAAGCTGCCAAAGTCTCTTTCAGATCGACGACTTTTTGATGTTGGAACCTCTCGATGTCCATCATGGCTTTAATGGAGAAAGACCTATTTGACGGAGAAAGATAGTAATTTGTAAAAAAATTATTAATGTTATCCCCGAATATCGGTTAGGTTAATATCTCGAAACGTAGGTGTAGTCTTACTTCAAATCCTCGTCCACTTGCTTCACAGTTTCATCGTGCTGCGCAATTCGCTGTTCCAGCTGAAGGATTTTCAACTCGCGAACCTCCTCGGTGTCTACAGAGCCGAATAAGCGCGACATCAAACCGGCCTTACCTTAAAGAGTGAAATTTTACATTCCCGAGTGTATGTACAAATCAAACATTATATCTCTAACACAATTCTAATACGTAGTTAGGTGTTTCCGACCAAAGGATATCAAAAAGTGATTAAAATAAACAATTATTGTTGTGTCTTAATATAATCACTTTATTTCATTTCATTCTTTAGAACGACAATTTTTTATATCTCAGAAAGGTGAATTTTTGTTATTAAAATGGCTTAATTCTACGGAGAGATCACTTCTTCATCACTGACAAATTTTCTTCTGTAAAAACCGAACTTTAATTGTCAAAATAAAAAGTGATTACTAGAACCTGAATGGGAATTGTAGGCTGATATTTATTTTAAGGGCAAAAGTTGAAAATATTTTTGTAGTGGTATAGAAAAATTAATTCATTGTTTCAAAAGATATATTGGAGGTTGATTGTATTGAACAATACAAATGACAATCCCATTTTCCTTTGTACCATATATCTACAAGTTTCTGGACCTTTTATTATTTAGGGACCTTTTATTACGTACCTTGCATGACCTTGTCTTTCTGCTCGAACGTGGCAGTCAAGGCATCGTGCGCTTCGTCTTTAGCCAGTTGCAGGGCTTCTCTGCGTCTAACCACAGCCTGCAACGCCGATGCGCCAAAGAGCCACTCCTTGAGCTGATCCGCTATGAGCTCTTCCTCCTCGAGCGTAGTATCTATCGTCGCCGCTAACGAGTCCAAGTAGTGCCCCGATTTCTAAGAAAACAAGCTGTAATGCGGTGCTTTGCAAACTTAAACTGCATTTCTTTCTTTACGTTTCATCAAATCAAGCGTTACTCTTCCCGTCTCGACGTTAACGAATAAAATCGATGCTTCTCGCTCGTCGGCACGATTATAGCGTTACTTTTTATAATGAGGAATACCTGCAGTTCGTCACCCATTCCTTTCTCTATGGCACTCCATTCGCTGAAGACACGCCCATAATTTGCATGCAACTTATATAGACTGTGCTGCTTTTCGACGAGCCGTGCACGCACTCGCAGGAGATTGCACAAGTTATTCTGCAAGAATAATTGTTTGAAGGCACGCCGATAACACTTGCATCACAATTAAGGACATTATAGACAAATTATCAAGGATCGCTAAGCGTTAAAAAATCGTGCAAATTTTGTTAAAATAAAACATGTGATATCACGAATCCAGATAGCACGGAGAATCCAGAAAATTTCTTTTTGCATTTCTGAATTATGAAATAAAATTTCTTTCCATCTCATTTCTGTTCTAAAAACATTCTTAAGAGCTGAGAAAGAATTGTGAGGAATGCTAGGGGCTCCAAGAAGTAATAAAAAGAAGAAGAAAAACATATAGGCAATGGAAGCCAGTCACGGGAATGAATTTAGTAGAGTCACGTATTTAAAATAATTAAGAAATAAATTAGGAGACAGTTACAATATGTTAAACGTTTCGATCATGGGATGTGACCCTCTTCAGTAACAAATATTATAAATTACGAATTACGTGAAAACCGAGACCCTTACGTGGGAATGGTCGTTGACATACTTATAGATGTGACGAAAAAACGCAGGTTAAGAGGATGCTAAAGTCGTCTGTTTTACCGACACATTCGAATATAGTTTTTGCGCTGCTGAATCTTTTTTAGTTTTTACGCCTAAAATAATACCAGGATAAGTTGCGGACCGCATAGCAGAACGTTTTTATACTTGAAACACTCGGGTCAGAAATCTAATGAGAAAGATATTGGTATTTGAAATTTTCAATTTTTTAATCGTGAGCAATTTGAATTTGGCTTTATAAAATTACAAAATTCTTCCACGCGATTACAGTACGCGTAAAAACAAAGCGGGGGGTTCACGACTTTATATAAAAAACGAAGAGAAATTAAAAATATCGCTTTATAAGTAATTGTGGTTAGGCTTTACATGCTGATACGTTTTTTATATAAAGTCGTAAACCCCCTGCTTTGTTTTTACGCGTACTGTAATCGCGTGGAAGAATTTTGTAATTTTATAAAGCCAAATTTAAATTGCTCACGATTAAAAAATCGAAAATTTCAAATATCAATATCTATCTCATTAGACTTCTGACCCGAGTGTTTCAAGTATAAAAACGTTCTGCTATGCGGTCCGCAACTTATCCTGGTATTATTTTAGGCGTAAAAACTAATAAAAAGATTCAGCAGCGCAAAAACTATATTCGAAGATTTAATTTCATACATGTTGATGTAGGACAACGGCGTGTAAAAAGAATTTGTTTAGAGTTCTTTGTCGAATTCAAAAGGAATTCTTTGTATTCAGAATAACAATTTCAATTTATTTCCATAGAAAGCGAGTAGGTGTATTTCTATGGAATCCTTTCAAAGCCTACCGGAAGTGAATTCTTTTGCGTCCATTTTCAACAGATTACGCTAATCCATAAAGAATTTTGGAAAGCGAAAGCATTCGTTTTGAGTTCATATAACGATCACCCGCTATTTAGGAGGATACATCGATTCGCGGCATACCTGCAGTTCAATTCCATAATTTTTTATAGTTTCGAACCGTTTGTCTGGCTTTCTTAATCGTACCGCTACGCTAAGCGCTTTCAGCTTCGATTCTGCGATCTGCAGATACCCTACAAAAAATAATAAATGATTCAATGCCCATCTAAAATATCTCTTAAGCTGTTAGGTCGATATTCCGAATCTTCTTTTATCGGTGAAAAGCGCTACTGAAATTGGTTTCGAAGAATTCTTATTGGTTGAGAAGATCTTTTACAGGCACTTTTATCGATGAAAGAGGTTTCAGAATATAGGTCTTCGTCTTTTATTCAACGTTTCAACGATCTTTTCATCGTGCGCAGAAATAAAAATTACCTGTTTCCTTAACACTTTCTCTCCAACCGTCCTTCTGCTGAAGAAACCCCATGAAATGTTCGTCGCGCGAAAGTATGGGATGCGACGCGACCCTTACAAGGAAGTTCTGCGCGCAGAAATATTCTCCTTAACTTTCCCAATGTACAACAGCATTCGTCGGTGCGATATCGTTTTATTTGCAAATCGAGAACGTACCTCGAGTCCAGCCCTTCTGCGGTCGACGAAGTCGGGATCGAACGTGTCGGTCGTCACTTTCTGCCAAGCGTAGAGAACCTTCTTCTCTGGTAGCGGCGGTAGCACGATGTAGGGATACGAAATCTCCAGGTAAGCGCGTAGCAACTCGAACTCGGTATATCGCCGCCATAGCGAGCTTATCCTAGTCAGCGCGTTTTTGAAATCCAAGTCGGTGACTCTGCAAGACAAAAGAGAAAAATTAATAACCTGGCAATAGCAGAGGGTAGTTCCCCATTATAGCATAAGCTCCTGATATGAGATAACGGGGTTTCTGTTAAATTAATAGACATCATCTGTTGGCTCCACCATGAATCTATTATCCTTAGAGTGAAATCCGTTTAGTGAAAAATTCACTGCTGGATCGTGTAACCGTCGCGAAAAAAAGATTCGTGCTTAAATGTGGATGTTGAAGATCTGTCTCATATTAGGGGACTTTCTCAGCGAGAAATGACTCGTCGATCGACGTCGAAACGATGTCGAGTCGACGTCAATTTGACAACGTCGATGCTGACTCGACATCGTTTCGCGGAAACATTTACTCACTGGATTCCTCTACTTCCGAAATAATTCGTGCCAGTTCGAAGTGAACTCTGCTACGCGATTCGTATTTCTACTTGTTTACTTACTTAGTTTCAATGAGGTATACCGTGTAGAATTCTCTTAAATTAAGCGCTCTATTCGCCCTCTTCTCGGCCTCCACTATTGAGATCTCCATGTGGTCGAGCAGGCAGTCCTGAAATATTATTTTATCAGTAAAAGGAAAGATCTTGGTGCTATTTGGCCAATTCTAGTAGAGCATTGGCTCTACATTGGTCCAATGTTGGTGATATTAGAAATGCATTGGCCGATATTGTTCAACGTAACACGAATATTGGTCCAATGATACAATATTAAACCAATGTTGCTAAATAGGCACATTGGCTAAACAAGAGAAGGCGTCGATCTTACAATATTGGACCAATATTGAAAATACTAGATTTACATTATTTCCCAACATTTCGCCAATATATTGTGCTACTAGGAAAGTTCATACATTCATCGTTACAGGCATGAAGTTACGTTGTTGATAAACGGTGCCTTGTAATAAACATATGAAAGGTCATTACAACTTAAGAGTTCTGTAATACATCCAGCATAGTATGTCCCTCTCGAGACATCTGCGCAGGTTTGAGAAACCCTGTCCACCGTTCTTTGCCATTTCCTCATCACTCACGCGGAATGTTGCGGTTTCGGCGAGGCAAAGCCTTATCACGCAACAGCTGGTGGCTCGACTCACACAATGTACGAAGTTACACACGGGGAAGGGGGGTTGGGGAGGGAATAGAATACGAGTCACTGACACCAATTCAGAGGTGCTGCGCGGTGCTCCGATGATCGCTGCGCGACACACATTTCGCCCGTTACTCGAATCAATTGGAAATTAAATCGACGAATCGACGTCTCGCACGTCCGTCCGGTCCATCGAGCGCTCGGCCGGAGCTGCCCTCGTCGAGATTTAAAAGTCACGCGACGCCGTGCGAGGCGAGAGCGCGACTCCGAACTCGGAAGAGGCGGGTCGCGCGACGAGCGACTTATCGATTCAACGCGGACGAATGCGTGTGAAAGAGCCAGAGGGCCGAGGGATCCTTTACCTCCTTCCGCGTCTCCATCGCGGTCATGTTGGCGTTAGCCTCCCTCTGGTAATTGCCGTTCTGAAAGACCTCTTCCATGATTCCTTCGTATCGCCGTTGCCTGCAGCTGTCTACGGGCCCAGCCAGCGGGACTCCGGTTCGACCTCTCGCATCACGCTCGGGTCGCCTGACGTAGACCTGCTACCAACGCTGGTCGTATCGACACTGCCGCGTCGCAGGGCTGTAAGGCAGTCTGTAACACGCTGCGCACAATCCGACCGAGAACCGGTCCCAGACACTGACATTATAACACAGCTGCGTTTTACCGCGGGAAACACGGCCAGCCTGGAAAATTCTTCCACGGAATTCCGCGAGGACGGCGCGGAAATCTGTGGCACCGAGAGGCGCCCGTCAGAGAATTTTGCGATCCACGTCACGCGAATTGTACTTCTCGATCGATGATTTTGCATGATAATGCACGAATGCGGCCGAGTAAAGCGAGAAAGATCCTACGAGGCGGTTGGCTGTGCTGATGCCGACGCTTTTCTCTAGAGGAGAGCCTCTGGAGAACGGCCAGCGCTCTTCTCCACATCGCGCGTTGCATGTAGAAGGAGGCGTGGGTTACCCTGGTGGAAATACTTTACGAAAAATATCATAACTTAATCTTTCAAAGCTGAACTGAACTTACAATGAGTTAAAAAAAACTTACCCAACCCTACTAATTACTATTAATGTAATGTATAATTATATACTATTATATCTGTATACATAATTTTTATAGAATTATATAGAATTATAAAGACTTATATAGAAATATGCTATGTAAAAATAATTTATAGTATAATAAAATATACATATAGTATTATATAAAATTATATATCAAATGTGTCGATATCAGTATATAGAGATACACAAAGCAAAAACATATAATATAATTTTATATAATTCTATGTATTTATACATGCTTATGCATGACAAATTTTTTATCGGGGTATTTCAAATGCTCAATTGATTTCGTTTCATTGTCATTTCGCCAATAAATTGTAGTAAAAATTTAACGAGGAACATATTTTAATTATTTTCATTTAAAAGCAACACAGTTTTTAGTTAACATTTCATAATTCTTTTAGTACTAACCTTTTAGTACTTTTCAAGTAAAACAGTAGTATAACAGTTTAATTTCTTTTACATTGTAAAGAATCATGTCGAATTTCGGAAAATTATGCCTGAAATACCTAGATTCAGTGATTTTTCAATAATTTTCATTTTTTATCGATTTTAATAATTTCAGTAGAATATTTCCATCAGGGTCTCCTCTGCAACGCGCGTTGTAGATACATAGAAGAGAAAAAAACGTTTAATAATAAAATCATTTTGCTTTATTTTTCCTGCTTTAGTTGCATCATAATTACATTTCTCTTTGTTTTTGTTACGCTTGCAACAAGGGATAGCAATAAATAAGATTGGAACAACTTAATACTAATTCCAACAAAATATTTCCATCGGGATCTTCTCTGAATCGCATGTTGCATGCAGAAGGGATGAAGGCGTTAATAATAAAAAAATATTATCACATTTTCCTGCCTTGTATCATAATTAAATTTTTCTTTGTTGTAGCAACGCTTACAACAAGAGATTGTGATAAATAAGATTGGAACGATCGGTGACATAGAAATTACATTTCGAGATGTTAAACATTGCAGCCGCGAAATGCGCTTAAAACACGTTTCCCTCATATGCACGTCGTACACATTGTACGACCGTATAATTCATTAGTTTATCCTACGTATATATATAATATATATATATATGTAGAACACAGTAGGTGGGAGCAAATAGACCTTATCTACTAAATGAGCGTACATATTTACATAATGAAAGACACTGCGCGGATATAAAACGATGGCGATTATAAACCTGCGTAAACTATTTACATGTCGACTTTTCGACAAATATTAAAACTAATAACAAAATCATCGTTGGATACATCTATAACAGGGTCAAACAATATCCTTTGGTTTGTCATCTTGCGTTGGTTTTCCCGGTAGAACAGTAACCAAAAGTGCGGACACTGTAAATTAATCAGAAATGTGTGAAAAACATTTTTATATATACGTCAAAGTTGCGGAGATACAATTTAATATGCATTTAATATACAGATATTGTTTTACCTAGAGAGGCCGAGCCGATCATGATAAATGGCCCTAAACACGACAGGTTGAATAAAACGGGGAATAGTAAGTTGCCAAATACCGCGCCAATTCTTCCCATCATCATTGTTAGGCTAACCGCCATGGTTCTAAAACACGAAACATGCGGATATTAGAATACAGATAGATAATATAGAGATTAGAATATAAATAGATAATATAAAAATAGATATAATAGAATAGATAAAGTAAATATAGTAAAATATGTATAATGAAATATTCAGTCAAAAATGATTCTTTCAATTGACGTCAATTCAAAGTCATTCTACATCAAATCAATGCAAAGGCAGAAAGTCGAAAGCCATAGAAATATTATTGAAGTAACATAATAAGTTGTGATGAAGTCGAGGACGACAAAGAAATCAATCTGTGTTTGACATCAACCTTTCATTAGCGAATTGACGTCAATTCGACTAGCCATTACTAATTGAATACTAGTGATATATCATTAATAATAAATTGCTATACCTTAGATATGTAGGAAAATTATCGACAATGACATTAACGACAGTCGCACCGCCGATACTCGTCATAGCGACAAATACCGAGGACAGTCCGAGGATACCGTTGGTATCTTCAGCCCAATAAAGTGAGCCGCAACAACCAGCAGCAACGAGGAAGCAAATTGCTGTACAGGAATCAAATAACCAAATACAGCAATTGCAGTTAATAGTACATAGATAATCACCCTTACAGAAATGTACATACTGGGAATGAAAAAGAGCACTGAATAATTACTAGAGCTCAATAATTTAATCATCAGCAATTATTGCTGAAATTCAACGCAATTTACATGATCGCGGGTCTCTGAGATTTTATATAAAAATGAAATAACTTAACTTTTAACTTTCTACTTTCTTTTATTCTTAACTTAACTTTTAATTCAATTAATTTTATTATGGATTAACCTGTATCTTCACTTAAGTTAAATTTTCAAGGCTGTTAACTTTACCTTAACTTAGTTAAAAAAAACTTATCCAACCCTACTAATTGCCTATGTATAAGTGTACATCACTGATGTATATACAGTAATTCTCTAGTATAATAATTATTTCGCTTACATTTCCGTAAGGGTATCGAGCATACACGGAGAGAATTTTCACTTAAAATTTACCCCAAAATCATGTAATCGTAGGACAACATGGCATTTTGAAGAATTGTATGACAGTTTTTTGAAATTTTACCATACATTCTACTGGTAAAATGTATGGTAATTTTTCAAAAAACCCTTATAAAATTCTTCGAATAATTCAGGATAAATTTTAAGAAAAAAATATCTCCTTGTAATAAGAGCATTGCGCAACATTGTTATTCAATGTTGTTACATTTCTTACTCGTAATGTTACGTCATAAATAAAATTACTATCTCTTCGTCACCAAATTATTTCATCATCTTACCCATTAGCTTTCTCTTTCCTATTACGGTGATCAAAGAACCAGCTATAGTATAACCGATAACGCCCGTCACAGCGATGACGATGGAATTGATGAAGACTCTAGAATTCAGCTCCGCCTGAAATTGATATGCATATTTCATAGAATTCGTTTTCCGCGTTGCGAGCAAGATTTAATAAGAATTAGCGACTTACCGGAATACATACTGTAGAGTTGCTCATTGTCTCGTTGATGTACTGCGTGGAATTAAGATACGACTGCTCCTGGCCTAGCATATAACAGAATGAGGGCTGCAAACCCGACACGTGGCTATCGTTCTTCATAAGAGTGTTTTTGTAACTCTCGATCATTGCGAACAGCTGCGGCATCCAAAGCCGGAGCGAGTTCGACCTGCAATCGGCATTAATTGAACTCTTTAGGCTCCATCCATTTTAGTTTTGCTTTATGTATTTTAACGAAATAAAGAATTATTACGTCACTTCATTTTTTTTCATAACAATTAAGAGAGACAATGAGTCGATTAAACTGACCCTATCGTTGCACCTAGCTGTATCATCGATACGAGTATCAATCTGAAAATATTAGGTCGCACGAAGAGTGGCTTCATCTGCTTCAAGCAGTTTTTCAGCTTGTCCTGTATACGTTCTTCGCACGATTCAACGGAGTATTCATCTTCCAGACTCTTTATCTGTCAATTAATCATAAAACAATCATATTGTTATGTCATTATTCTCATATTAACCGTTTCTTTCATTCCGTAATCGCTTCATTTATCCAATCTCATTTCTTACAATTTCATCACGCTTCCGTTTACATGCATACATTTTAGTTTAGTTTTCGATTATGCCCTATTTGTTTTGCTGTATAATTAATTTTGCATTCCGAATAACGTATCTTTTTTTATACAAATTTTATAGCAACAAATATTATAGCAATAGCCTTATCTTTTTCATCTTTTATGTAATAATCCTTTTGTGAAATAAATTTACGTGTTTAAGTAAATGTGACATAACGATTTTATAATCACGCTGTGCGTGCAGTTATCGTACGTATTTTAAAACATTGTCGAAATGACTCAACGTGGCACCGTATTTTTATAATTGAGTTTTATTTCAAGTCAGACTTCTAACATCTGCGTCGGCTCTTATTGCCTTTCCTTTCTATTAATTTTACTGCAAATCAACAAATATACGAGATTAAAATTATTAATTAGTCATCTATAAGTGACTTTTCTATTATTTATATTGTAGATATTAAGATTACTGACAGCTTACATTTGTAATTTTCGACCTTTAACTCTTTGCACTGGAAATGAACCAAAAGATCTAGTTCATAAGATTCGACTTTATGTAACTTATTATTTTGTTAATTATTGCCAACGTTTCCATGTAACTTATATTACTGCCAATTAATGTTCAATATATAATTTATTACTTACTCACTTATTTTACTCTAACGGCCGTTTTATATTGATGATTATTATCATATTTATTTATTGCCATTTTGATAGTTTTCAGTCATTAGTTATAAAGTTCTGACGTGTCGCAGGTAGCTACGGCTCTAAATGATAAAGTACAACTCCCAACCTTCATTTTGAGCCGTAATTACATACATATGGTACGTCAAGATAGAAAATGATAAGAACTATCAAAATAGCCATTTCTAGCATAATTAACTGACAATGAGTTTTTCCCAAAATTCTGGCGTGCCAGAGAAATTTTACCGCCGGATTTGAATTCAATATAAAAAAAGTCTACAAACAATGATAGGTTTCAGGTTAATGCCAAAATTCTTCGAGCAGTGTTTATTTGCGTTAACAAACTTCTCAATCAGGCAATTTAATCTAACGAAGACAGTCTTAAGTGGCTGAACTTTGAATTATTTCAAACAAATACATTGCACTATTATCTTCGAAAATAACATCATTATTAACATGCATATTACCGGGTACGTGTCGGGATCCTTCCCAGTGTTGAGCGAGTAGATTTTCTTGAAGACCCTCAGTGCCTCGTCGTGCCGACCTTTCAGGATAAGGAAACGCGGGCTCTCCGGGAAAGCGAAAAGTGTGGCGCACGCTATAAACTCGGGCAGAGAGCAAATGGCTAAGAACACCCTCCAGGAATTGATCTCTCTTGTTTCGCTTAAAAGTGTGATGTACCACTTTTGAGGTATTATGAGCCACGCTATACCTGCCAGTTGAAAGATACAAATCAGAAGTTTATAACTTTATTCTAACTCAAATTTATTTATCACACGAAACGTAAGTGCAGACTTATTCATCAATGCCTGCACCTGCATTTTCATCATCATTTTTCTCATCTATACGCGTAAAGAAAAATATAGCTGCCGTAGTAAAAAAACTATATGAGCAACTAAATATTAGTCGTAAAATATAGACAGCCAATATTTAGTTATGATAAATATTTGTGCTAAATATTTTGCTACTGTGCCTATTGTATTAGGTGCGACAGCAAATCGTTTGCTGGGCTTTTGAAATTTGCAGTTATGGCAGCAAAATGTTTCTAGCAAACCATGCTCAGCTATATGGTAGCGAAAATTTTTTTTTCAGTGTACAAATCACTGGGTTTCAGACTGTATGTATGTACCATCACATACTTCTATAGAAGCTGTGTGAACTACAGCCTGAAACTCATTGATGATAGGAATAAAGATTAGGAAAATGTGAATTCTAGTAGAACTGAGGTCCAGGCATTAATAAATAAGACTGTACTCGAGTGAGATGGAATATTGCGCGCCTCTTCTTCGCGCTTTCGTTTTAAATTTCCAAATCGATTTTAACTCTTTTGGCTACCAGCGAATTTCACAATACCACACAGAAGAAAGAACATTCTTCTTTTAAAAATATGTTTAGTTTCAACGTAAAAATCTTAAAATAAAATTATATTAAAGCAAAAAAAAAACTTACTTGACTGAAACAATTTTATATAATTAAATCGATAAAAATATAGCCTTATTATTGAAGAATAATTTTTTTGAATGGAAAGGAAACAATATTCGATACACAATAACATATTTTCAAATCAAACATTATAATGATTAAAATGATTTTATTGTCAAAATAATTATACGTATTCTTGAAGTGACAATTATAGTATTTAAATAAAGCTGTAATATTGTTGGAGTGCAAGATTATTAAATGCTTCTAAGAAGATTGTGGATTGTTGCGTATATACAAGAAAAGAAACCCATGATGTGTTAATTTGAGTATATAAGAGTTGAACTACACATCCTTTTTCTGTGCGCAGCAATGCGCATATTTTACCGTTGCACGCGTCTCCGGCTTGAAAATCGGTGCTTTGTAATTTAACCTCCGTCGATCTGTAGACATACTGTTTCAAGGCTGTACTTACATGGCAAGGAAATGTTTCCAAGCGAGAAGAACACGCCAAGCCACATGTACGATCTCGATCGATGTGCTTCATTGTGTATTTCCGCCAAGTACGACATAAGTGCCGCATACGGGCCAGATATGCTGTAATTTGTTGATCGCGATGTCAACCATTACGTAATATTTACATGTAACAAAATATTCAGCTTTTCCCTTAGTTAATGTACATAATTATAGCGCGCGTATGTAGGTACGTAAGTTGTAATATTATACCGCACTGACTAGCAATTCCAACTTACATCATGCCGTCCAAAAATTTAAACGTTATTAAAAGCCAAGATCTGTGCGAGAAGCACGTCGCCACGCTTAATAGACCGGTAAGCAGATAACCGTAGAACATTATTTTCTTACGACCGAACATGTCGGTCACGCAACCCCAGAAAAACACCGTGCAGATCATCCCTGAAAAGAAAGCCAACTGGTGAGCCGATTCTGCCTTCAATTTTCTGAGAATTTTGCGTTACGATAAAAGTAGGGTGAAAAGTAATACACAGGGGAAAACGTGTGGCAACTAAATTTTAGTTGTAAAATATGGACAGCTAATGTTTAGTTGCGATAGCTAATATTTCGCTACTGTGCCTATTGTATTGTACTAGGTGCGACAGCAAATCGTTTACTGTGGTTTAGAAATTTATAGCTAATGGAGCAAAATATTTTTAGCGTGATTAGCTACAGTAGCGAAAAATTGTTTATAATTGGTACAAATGTCTATAATTGGTACAAAGCTTTCCCTCAATGTCAGCTCCAGTTGCGAGGAGAGCCCCATGATGGCTGTACCTTAGGCCTACGGAAGCCAATTGATCGGCCGCTAGTTGCTCGCGGGTCGAAAGCGATCGCTGTCGAAAACAGCTGGCCGAAAATGGTCGGCCGGTCAGAATTCGCATGCGATAAGAAATAAAATGATACGGTATTTACCGTGAGCTCGCGTTTGCCCTCACTATTGCTTACAATGAACTGCAGTGTACACCGCACGATAATCATAGAGACTCTAAGTGTGCAAGCTCTAGTGCTCCAGGGCTCTCATTGAGCTCTCTGGCACCTGTAATAAAGCGTTGTTATGCAATTGTTAAGCGGATCGAGATACTACCTGCGAACGCCATCGAATTCAACAGTCCCTTGTCGAACATCGTCAGCTCGAGATCACATTCGGCGGACGGTAGCACGTAGGACATCGCTGACGATGAAAAGATGCTGGAGAAGCTGGCCGGTAGAACCGCCAGCAGCAGCAAGTAATTAAATTTTCCATATCCTGAGCAAACGGACGAAGTTATTTTTATGTATTAAATCGGCTCCGCGTTCAAAGAGTAAAATATTCAAAATTGACATGAAACGCCGTGAGGACGACCAACGGCCGATACATCACGTTGTTGTGGAATGAATAATATTTAGCCACGTGCGTATCATGCCGACAGAAGTTCAATTAGACCGTTATTCTCATTTATTATAAATATTGTGAGTATTTGTTAAAAATTTAATCAAGCATACTTCACTGGTTTATTCTGCGAGATAAAATAGGACGACAATGTTGAACAAGTGATTAATGTGGCAATAAACATGTTAAATAAGTAAGTGATGTAATATATAATTTATATAATTTATTTAGGTTTACTTACCCGCCGCTATAATTGCCCGTTCGAAGTCTGCGGGACCAGAATCCTCAGGCTTTACTTCCTCGTCTGGAAGCGGAAACAGCAATTAGTTACAAATCCTGATGACGCGATTGCTTTAGATTTACGTAATTAAAACTGAATTAACACCTGATAAACGACGCATATGTCTGTGTCTGTACGATCTATACATCGTAAATAAATCAAGAAAATGTCGAAAAAGCATCTTTTGCCATTTGCCATTCAAACACAGCTACACTTGCCACTAGCCCACGCACATATAATCGGCGTTCGTCGCACGAACTTATTGGGAAAAACAGTCAATATATATATAGACGCGTGAAACGCCGTTCATGTTATCAAAACAGAGTTTATACTATCTTCGCGGATGCATCAGCTTTATTTGGCACTGTATACGACGATAAGATCACCGTACAACTCGTTTTCAATTAACACTAAAGTGCTGTCACTAGACTTTCTATTAAATTAAAACTAACATCATTTATAAGGACGTAATCAACTACAGGAGAGACAGGTTTATCATACGATACATCGGACGGTATCAATCACGTCGCGCTACCGCGCGAAGAATCTGTTGACATTATTGGATTTGTCTCTTCTAAAGTCGTCGCACGCAGTTTCACAGCCGTTAAACACAGATTGTCTTCGATAATACGCGGAGATACACTCGCAATGAGAAAAAAAATAATTGCAATAATCGTTTGGCTAATTTTTCCGGCTTCGCTGGAAGCTTTACGAGTTTATTATAAAACGCAGTTTGTTAGATGCACTTCCAATTTGCATGATAATTCGTAATCGCGACAGCATTATCTCACAGTTGAGGATTACCGCGATCGGAAAGATAACGTCGATCAACGTGAATACTGCGAGACGGATCGAGCTCGACTAAGGATTTATTTTGACAACATTCGTCTTAATACATATCGCCGCTCAAAATCGTCTAAGAATCCACTCTAGAACCGTCCTACGATTTCAAACGTTATCGAACTCGGCGAATTTTCCGATAATTGATCGGTGAAATTATTTAAAGCCCTTCGGGCTTTCTTAATAGCATAAAGATGCTTTCTTGAAAAACACGATGCAATAAAATTTTGAATTTTCCGACAGACTGGTTTGTATAATCAATAGTAAATTGCAATTAAGTTATACAATTACAATCTTAATCGTTAATATAATTTAGCGTACGTTTCTGCAGTACCTAAATAACAATAAATCAATGCCTACATACATGAGATAATCTAACGCAGTAATGCGATATACACATTCCTGTATTCCCCGAGGCGAAAACCTACATCATACAAATGCTCAAAAAGTAAGCGTAGCACTTATAACATTCCCGTTCTTTATAAAAGCCTATGCTCCAAGAGCTGCTTTTTTAACAAATACGACTTTAAAGCACATCTAAGTGCTCGAAATGCTACCTTTTTGTACAGAATTTTATGCTACGTATTTTCCACGTGCTGTTGATGGCTGATGGAATTGAAATGCTCTTTGTTATAGCTCGTGTGCTATTCTATCAAAGTGAGAATGAGGACCACATTTACAAGAAACAAACAGTAATAATTTTCCAACAAAATAAAATTATATACAAAATATAATTATATGTGTGGTAAATATAGTAATTTTTACTCACTAGAATAGACATACAAATGAAAATACTAATTAGGCTGTATTTTTAGCCTTCTCTTCTCCTCCTCGAGAACGAAAGGGTTATTGCATGTGTTACCAGAATTACATGTGCTGTTCTATGTATATGCGATATTAATTTATAAGATATAAGACATGCTAAACATGTATAAGTGATTGTATTGTAAAATACAATACAAAAAATACTAAATCTTAAATAAAATATTAATTCGTTATTAATCTTTCCAACGAGCACTTTGTAGCATTTAGAGAACTCGTCTTCCCTATAGCTTCTGCAAAAGAGCTCTTGTATGACACAACGCTACAAAATATGACAAGGAGTCACTCAGATACTTAAAAAATGTGTAATTATAAAATGTATTTATGTATAATATTTTTGCAACGGGCAGAAATTTTCTGAGCTAAGAGATTGGATTATTATTTTCTTTAGTGAAATAATTCAATTTCAGCACTTCCAACAGTTGTAAAAAATATTCTGCTAAACCCAACCAATGTTAACTCAATATAATTTAACAATGTTTTCTGAATGTTGAATTGTAACGTTTACAAGACATTACAATTTAGTGGACATATATTAGACGTTTTTGCAATGTCTTTTCAACGTTGAATCTACATTTTGTAACATTTATGCAATATTTCAATATTGTAATGGAACGTTTCTGAGACTTTTGGAAATAAGCTATTTTTTTAGTAGCTCAAGTTGAACGTATTATCTAATATTTTTTCTTGATTATCAAAGGTCCAAAAGAATATTGCCCCACAAATTTCGACAAATTCATAAAATATTATAGTACCTGGAGATTTTTCCAAACTTTAGTATAGTTATATTACCATCAAGGACCTTATTAGGTAATAAGGAAAATTCATGCGGTTTTCTTGTTAGTAATGAACTGAAGTCAGATTTCAGTCAGTAATTCGCAAGAATATAATGCATGAAGTTATTATCAGCGGAAAGTTAGATCTATGTCGTTTGGTCTATTATACGCTACGTAATTTTTTATTAGTTCAATATTCTGTTGTTTATCATAAAAATGGTTTAAGCAATTTAAGGAAGGTAAGTAATCGCTGAAGGCCGCGTACTGGACGTTTGTCTGTTATCGAAGATAATAAACTACGTGAGTATACGCGTTTAAACTAGGGCTCGCTATTATACGTTTAAACGGATACACGTTTATACGTATAATTAGCTATCCGTTTATAAGAAACGTTTTTCCGAATACACGTGTTTTTACTTAATAAACGTTTAAACGTTTAAACGTTTACACGTATATTTAGTACATCCGTTTACTAAAAACGTTTTTTCAATATTTTCACGTTTTTCTATAAACGTTTATTCCTTTTTTAAGTGTTTTACTAGCACACACAGCGCGCACTAACGCGCGCGCTTTTACGGTTTTTACTTTTTCTCCTGTACATATATATTATACATATGGCTGTTGATATGCCGTGCGTCTTCGTTTGTTAGCAGCAACAACACTCTCTCTCCATTTAATTTTTCTTTTTGTACAAAATTTACCTTTATACCGGCTCTGAACCTCATTTTTATTTTCCGCCACACTCGCCATGATCTGTCACTGAAGCGCAACGTTGCCAAATGTATTTTCGATGAGTCGTTGACGCTCACATATATTTCTTAATATTCTATGCACTAATAATTTACGAAGAATGCAGCACATAAGTAGCATCCATAATTCATTACACTAATATTGCATCTAATTCGGGATCGCTGTAGTGACATTTGTTTCAGTTGCATTTTTTACTCACAAGTAATAGTCGTACCTCCTTATAAAACATTTCGATTCGCAGTGAAATTTCCTCAATGTTTGTCAAACGTTTAGTAAACGTTTAGTAAACGTTTAAACGTGTAAACGTTTTTCTACAAATAAACGTTTTTCTGGAAGAACGTGTAAACGGATAAACGTTTCACGTCTAGACGTTTATTCGAAAAACGGAATAAAAGCCCTAGTTTAAACTCACAAAAAAGATGTGCAAACGTCGCACAAGTGGACGAATCTAGGCTAGAAAATAAAATGTTTTATTTTTTATTTAAAATTCATTAATTTTTTCCGGTATCTAATATAATGAGATTTTGTGAATGTTTTCAAATGTTTATGATTTGCTGACACTTTAAATAATGCAGGCATTAATGCGTGTGGAATATGTTATGATATCGTGCTAAAATAGAATAGATGAGAAGCAAAATTAAAAGAGATTTGGAAACAAAAAAATTAAAAATAGAAAGAGAAACCGTTAATTCCATCAAGCATTAAACTCATTTTACATAGCAATTATATTTCTCTCAACCTGTTCTTTACGAATGTTAATTTCTTAGAGAATAAAAGTGAAACATTTCGGTTTATTTTATAATAATTTTCAATACATGCATTACACAATTCCTAACAATTTCTAATGCGTCGTTTGAATTACTATGAACAGTAGGTACTATGTATATATGTATATGTAGATTTTGTGTTTTGAGTACATTAAAGACATGAAAATAAAATTAGCAAGTAAGTTTTATATACTATATTGTATATATCATATTTATGCGTATTGTATATCTCCAAGTGTTTAAATAAAACAACGATTTTTTCTTAAAAAGTCTAAACACAATTTTACATACATATAGTTTTAATTTTTTTAAATATGTGCATTAAAAATTATTTTGAACAAAGTAGGTTTTATATATTGTATTATACATCGCACATTTATATTATATCTCAAAATTATTTAAAGAAAATAATACCGCTAAATTTTTCGGAAAAGATATGTTAAATAAAATTTTACATAAATGGAAGTAAATATTAATACAAGCGACTTTATGCGTAGTGCATACATTAATAAGTGATCGTGATTAGTAGATTGCATTCGAAGTTTTTCCGATTGACCGTTACATACCTATTTGCAGACAGTTGAAGAAATGTTGTGAGATATTGACGCAGGAGGTCATTACGTATTACATACTTGTATTTATGAATCGCTAACTTTGCATCCATAAATTATATTTTTCTTCAAATGACAGGCAGTGATACATATACATGCAATTTAGTTAAAGAAATCAAGAAAATTTAAAATAAGTGATCAAATAAGAAATTGCTGAGAAGTATGTTTCATAAATAATTCACCTATTTATGAAATTGTTCGTGTAATAAATGGAACAATTAAATTGTGTAAAAATTGATCTTCATTCTCTCTACAAATTATGGATTCAATTAATCTATAACTTATAAGAATTATCCGTGAAATTCATAAAGACATGAGTTATTGGTGCAAGGGAAAGTCTACCATCTGCCACGTAGCGAAAATTTACGATAAAGTAAATTAGTATAAAAAAATTAAATATCTTAAAAATTTTAGTAATAAATATATAGAAGATAATATTAGCTATAAGTGGTAATAATAAATAAATACGCTAAATTAAGAACAATATTTCTTGCTGAAAGTTTAAATATTACTGTGTAAAAGGTATAAATATATGTATATACACTCGGGTATTAGAAAAATTGAGACAGTCGCTTTCATCCCCAGTATTTGCTATCACATCCGCACACATTTCATGGTATCCTCTTCAATTGAAGTACAGATGTCTCTGCAATTGTCGTGTCGAAGGGTTCACGCGTTACGAGACAAGTATTCCAGTTTTTCTGGCATTTGAGTATGTATATACATATATAGGTGTACCTGTGTGCATGTGCGTGTGTACGTATATACATTTTTACATCATTTTTATAATATCTTTTTTGTACTGTCTATCTATATGTTTTGTGATAACGCACAGAAACGTTTTCAGAAAGAGTTTAAAGATAATAGAACTTGCAAAAATCTCACGTTGAAGAGTTGGCGGAATAACTTGCCTTTAGGTTTCATTAAAGTATCTTTGTCTATCGTCGACGAAGGATTTCAAGTGTAAGATACGCAGCGACCGGGCGGACAGTGAAATACTCCGCAATGTACCACCGGCAACTCTTGTTCGTCGATTTTAGCGCGTGCCCCACTCTGAGAGGGATGTTCTTTGGGAACGTTTCTTCAGCTGCACATGCACAGTGGTGCGCGATAGCCGTTAAACTGATTTCCTTGGTTGGAGTCGCTCAAAGGTATAGTCGGGACGAAAGAAGTGCGAGGAAGACGATGACGACGTCGGCGACGACAGGCGTCCGTCGCGTAACGGTGGGGCGGAACAGGTTCCTAAAAGAACCTACACAATTTTCTCGCATATCAACGGGAAAAGGCCATCTCCTGCACCCACACCCACGCGAGAACACGGGATATCCTTCCGCGCGTCAGGTATAGGGAGACATTTTACGGTGTTTCTTTACGACTGATCGCAAATTAATGTATCTAGGTACAAGATATACGAGCGCAGGAACACTCTTTTTGGCTCGCAAAATTTGCACAGACTACATTCTACGGACACGCGCACTTCTAACAGTCGATCTTTTTGCGAAGATCCTGCACGATTCGAAAAAGGACACTCAAGAAGTTCGGACGTCGTCGAGGCAACTTTTGCCTTTCTGCATCAGACTGACACACTCGTGCGGAATTTTTACGACAATCGTGTCGAGATTAAAAATCAGAACTCTACTTGTAGTAATATATTCACCCTGGTGAAATATTTTACTGAATTTTGCTGTAATGTAGTTGAAAATCTCTCCTACTACTCCGTTT